CTCTTGAGCAGAAGAGCTTTTGACTGCTGAGCCATTTCTCTGGCCCCAATCCCAGCATTTTGGAGACTGAGGCAGGAAGATTCTCCCAAGTTTGAGATCATCTTGGGTTACATAATGAGTTCAAGGTCAATCTCAGCTACAGAGTGGGACCTTATCTCGAAGAGAAGGAGGCAGAGAGATGGTTCAGAAGTGAAAAGCACGTGCTGTTCTTCGGAGGACCCAGGCCTGGTTCATAGCAGCCTTATTAGGCAGCTCACAATTGCCTGTTACTCCAGCTCAGAGGGTCCTAAGCCACCTTCTGGCCTCCTAAGGTACCTCCACACATGTGCACAGACACACAAATCCACACATAATTTTAAAAGAAGTATCTTTTAATGGAGAAACTGGATTTTAAAACCATTGCGTTTATAAGCAGAAAGCAAAGATAGGTGGGGAGTCCTGAAATCCAGGCAGGGGCTTACTCTGTAGGAAAATCACGGCTTCTGGGCTCCAGACAGGAAGTGCTAAGCAGCAAAGCCAGCTGTGACTGGACCTCATGGTAAAAATCAGTTGGAGGGCATGACTTCCCACTTGAAACTGGGAACCTTGAAAACGCTGTGGGAAGGGAAGCAAAGGCACGCACGAAGGCCGTCAAGAAACAGCCATGAGCACTCTAGACACAAGTGCAGAAAGCGGAGATCAGCGGGTGAGCGCTTGTCCAGCAGACACAAGGCCCTGGGAGGGGACGGGAAAGGAAGGGAACATTTCTGGTGAGGCTGGGAAAGACTATTCTGGTCATGTGACGACTGAGGAGGCAGCTTCATGGAGGGAACAGGTATGTGGATATCCTGGAGATGAGCATGCCAAGTAAAGAGTAGGCGAGTCTCACTGTGGCTAGTATGAAATGGGCTGAAGAGCTGTACAACTGAGGATGGACCTTCTCTGGTGGCTAAGTTGGTCTGAGCAACTGGGGCAGTTTTTGTTTCTTGCAGGCTGCTTGGCTGGTCTCTGCTTCTAGACTCAGCTTGAGCCTTTTCCAAACAGTGGAGCTTGCTGGGGAGTTGGGGGAGGGGAGGCTGTCTTTGCAGCTGGGCTTGCCTGACAGTGACTCGCCAGTCTTTAGTGCTTATACAGTCTTCTCGACAGTCTTTAGTGCTTATGTAGTCTTCTCGACAGTCTTTAGTGCTTATACAGTCTTCTCGACAGTC